GCGTCACTTCACCGTGCACACCGACCACTCTCCCCTGACCTGGCTGCACCAGATGAAAGGAGCCAACGCCAAGCTCCTGAGATGGAGCCTGCTCCTGCAGGATTATGACATGGACGTGGTCCATGTGAAGGGACGTGACAACCTGATAGTGGACGCATTGTCCCGGAGAGGGAGCCCTGAACTTCCCCAGGTCACTGGTCAGAGTGACCCCGCTCAGTTCAGTCTCGAAGGGGGGAGAGATGTGACGGAGCAGGGAGCAGGGCAGATTTGACCTGGGAATGTTGCAGGGGGGTTGCAGTGGGGATGTGGGACTTCCCTTGGCTGAGAGTCGCAGTGAATCTCGGGAAGAGGGGTGCAGGGCCCTAACTCCCCCACAATCCGCAACACCATCATTGGAGATTTTTAAAAGCAGGTTAGACAAACACGTGTCAGGGATGGTCTAGATCAGGGGTGGGCAAACTACGACCCCCAGGCCACATCCGGCTCACGGGACCGTCCTGCCCGGCCCTTGAGCTCCCGGCCTCTCCCCTACTGTCCTCCCTCCCCTGCAGCCTCAGCTCGCTGTGCTACCAGTTCTCTGGGCAGTGGGGCTGCGAGCTCTTGCTGGGCAGCGCGGCTGCAAGAGCCGCCAGCCTGCTCCGGTGCTCTAGACTGTGCCACGGCATGGTTGGCTCCAGCCAGGTGGCGCAGCTGCAAGTCCTGGTGCTCTGAGTGGCATGGTAAGGGGGCGAGGAGCGGGGGGGTGGGGGGGGGTTGGATAAGGGGCAGGGGGCCCCGGAGGGCAGTCAGGGGACAGGGAGCAGGGGGTGGTTGGACAGGCGTGGGAGTCCCGGGGGGCCTGTCAGGGGGCGGGGGTGTGGATAGGGGTCGGGGCAGTCAGGGGACATGGAGTGGGGAGGGTTGGATGGGGATGGGGCCCTGGGGGACAGTTAGGGGCAGTGGGTCCTGGGAGGGGGCGGTCAGGGGACAAGGAATAGGGGGGTTTGGATGGGTCGGAGGTTCTGAGGGGGGCAGTCAGGGCGCGGGAAGTGGGAGGGGGCGGATAAGAGGCACAGCCTTCCTTACCCGGCCCTCCATATAGTTTCGGAACCCTGATGTGGCCCTCAGGCCAAAAAGTTTGCCCACCCCTGGTCTAGATAATACTTAGTCTTGCCATGAGTGCAGGGGACTCGACAAGATGACCTCTTGAGGTCCCTTCCAGTTCTATGATTCTATGAGGTATCCACGGGGCTCTTGGCAGTGGTAGCGGGGTAGAGGGTGGCATGTAGCTCTTTATAAAAGCGGCATGTCTGCACTCTGCACCAGAGCAACTGTTAGCCTCCCTTGCCTTTTGATATGCTTGTGGCAAAACATTGGCTTTCATGCAGCACTGCTGCGGTCCATCTTGTAACCCTTCTTCCCCATGCCCTGAGCAATCTGCTCATAGACAATGATGTTTCTATGGTTGGATTGGAGCTGTGCCTGCACAGCCTCTTCTCCCCACAGACCCAGGTGATCCACCACCTCCTGTGTACTCCAGGCAGCATGGAGCCAGCATGATCAGCTGGGTAGTTGCTAGGTGAGCTCTCCACACCAAGCAAACAGGAATTTCAAAAATTCACAAGACTTTTAAAGGGGAGATGTGTGTATCCGTGTACCTGCCCTCCTGGCAGCAGAGTTCAAAATGGTGACCAGAGCGGGCAGGTTGGGGCACTATGGGGCACCTCCTGGAGGCCACTAAAATCGACATAAGTAAAACAGTATCTATACTGACACTGCGTTGACCTAACTACGTCAACCTAAGCTCTACGCCTCTCGCGGAGATGGAGTTATTAAGTCACTGTAGCGGACGAGTTTCATTGGTGGGAGCAACATTTTAGTGTAGACGCTTACAGAGTTAGGTCAACGTAAGCTGCCTTGAGTCGACCTAACTCTATAGTGTAGACCAGACCTTAGTCACCTTCAAAAATTCCAACTCCCAGGTCAGTAATAACAGAAATATGATACTATCTGGTATGATACTATCTATGAAATTAGTATAACGGTCTCACTCCAGTTTAAAGCAAAAGCATCCAAATCACAAAAATTGCCACTTTAATTGGCAATCTTGTTGGTTGAGATATTAAGCAGCTAATGGGCATGGCGAATGAAATGTATTAGTCCCTAGAAGTTGTCCATCCAAGGTAGACTTGAGCCACATTGGCAGGGAAGTGTGACGAAACTTGTTATTTCTGTATTAGGTGTCTGAGGCCATGTCTACACTACAGACTTAAGTTGACCTATGTTAGGTTGACTTACAGCTACTGCCCTCCTTCTGCCGGTGGTGCACATCCTCAACGGGAGCACTTCTACTGATTGAAGAAGGGCAGTGTGGGGGGCTGAGAGCCAGGGTTCACAGCTCTGCGTGGCTCCCCACCGGTAGCCCAGCTGCCCCCCGGGCTCTCGTCCCCTTGCTCCCAACGGGAAGTAGGGGGTAGCCATCTGGGCTTCTCGCCTCCCTGTTCCCCGCCGGGAGTGGGGGGGACAGCTGTCTGAGCTTCTTGCCTCCACTCTGGGAGTGGGGAGCAGCTGCCCGTGCTTCTCGACTCCCTGAATGGGGAGCGGGGAGCTGGGCAGGCACAGCTGGGCTTGGTGTGGAGAATCAGGCAGGCACAGCCCGCCTGAGTGTGTGTGGGGGAGAGATGGAGGCAGCCGGGCTGTGATATAAGTAACACAGTGTCTACACAGACACTGCATCGTCCTAACTACACCGACATAAGCCCTGCGCCTCTCGTGGAGGTGGAATTATGATGTCGGTGTAGTACAGCACATACATGGGTGGGACAAGGTTGTAGTGTGTACACTGACATAATTAGGTCGACGGAAGTTGCCTTAGATCAACCTAACTGTGTAGTATAGACCAGGCTTGAGTGTCCACTTCTCATTTACCCTGCTCTCTTCAAAGGCCTATGAATGTCAAGAAGCTATTCTCTCTCTGAGGCAGTGACTCCGAGTTTTAGATTTTTCCAAGTGGAACCCTATAGCAAGATTTTCAAGAAAGCTCAGCTCCCATTTTGGCATCTTCATGAAATGGACAGATTTTCAAAAGTCCTCAGCACCCAAAAGCTTCCACTGGTAACAAATCTGGCCACACTATTAAAGGTGCTTAAATGGGAATTCTCTTGAAAATCTGGCCCATAGAATTTCCTTACTCCTTCATTGTGGGCTGTTATTTCCCCCCCTATTCTCTTGTCAAGCAACAGCTCCATTGCTGGATAAGTCATGCAACCAAGAAGAAAAAGATTCCTCCAAAACTATGACACAGTCCTGTATTGGAGGAATAATGGGGAAAGCTGTAGAGGGAGACAATTCACACTTTACTCTAGAAACAGAAAGTGTCATCTCTTAGGGTATGTCTTCACTACCCGCCGTATCGGCGGGTAGCAATCGATTTATCCGGGATTGATATATCGTGTCTCGTTAAGACGCGATATACTGATCCCCGAACGCGCTCACCGTTGACTCTGGAACTCCACAGAGCGAGCGGCGGTAGCGCAGTCGACGGGGGAGCCGCGGCTGTCGATCCCGCGCCGTGTGGACCCCAGGTAATTCGATCCAAGATACTTTGACTTCAGCTACGCTATTTGCGTAGCTGAAGTTGCGTATCTTAGATCGATTCCCCCCCCCCCCCGTGTAGACCAGCCCTTTGATACAAAATCATGAATAATATGCAGAAGAAATTCATCTCCCTGCCAAGTATTACTATAGGGATTTTTAAACAAGCTGGTCACAGTCTGGAGGAACAAATTTCTGAACTTCAAAGAGGTTCCTAATCATCGCATTAGCAAGCAGTATTTAAAACCAGGGTTATTTGTTCATTAGTATAAGGATTTTAATAATACCATCAGGCAATTTGAAATTCCCTGCACTTCAGAATAATGAAATGTTTAGCATTCCCACAACACTTTCTGTGCAAATGATCCTGGCACAAAATATCTTATAACTACCAAATTAATAAGCACCACAAAGACCCTTTGTTATGCAAGAATAGTGAAGGACACTCCAAATGGGACAATTTTAACACATTTAAGCTCTGTTATTCGGGGGTGGGAGGAGATGAGAAAAAAAAAGAATACTATTTGAATATTGCATAATACTTACTGGTCCTTTAGCCAGTCCTTCACAAAAGGGATAGAGAAGAATTCTGTGAATGGTTCATCTTTCCTCTTTGGATTCTGGCTGATAATTATATCATATATATTTTTTAAAATACAGTTAACAAGAAAACAACAACATTCATCTCAATTGTTGTTATTCTATTTGTAAATTTGTGTTGCTGAATCACTGGACAAAGTTAATATTTAGAAACAGAATTAACTTACTTGTATAACCACTCAGTCAGAAAATCACAGGCGATAAATTTGGTCCTTTTTCTCTAAAGATAGAAGATAGTTTCAAATTATTTATTACCTTTGGACTGGTCACGCATTTTAACTAGTGCTGAGGAACTGCAGCTAAGTTGATTGCCATTGTTGAATAAAATATACAGTACATTATTGTGTCTATTTTAATTTTGCAATTGCCAAGCATCTATGGTTTAGCCAAAGCTGTAGAAATTTCATTTGTGGAACCACTTTTCAAGCCAAGTCTAAATATGAGTACAGTAACTCCACACTTAACATTGTAGTTATGTGCCTGAAAAATTCGACTGTAAGCGAAACGATGTTAAGCGAATCCAATTTCCCCATAAGAATTAATGTAAATGAGGGGGTTAGGTTCCAGGGAAATTTTTTTCACCAGACAAAAGACTATTATATATATATATATATATATACACACACACACACACACACAGTATATTGTTTTCTAGACAAACTAATTTAATACGTGGTACACAGTGATGATGATTGTGAAG